GAAAAAGTTTGGACACCACTGGCCTAAGCCAATACCACTCACATTGCTGTAATCAATAAAGTTGTGGCCTAAATTCTGCCCATTAACCTTTAAACTAAAATTCTGTCTCAATGTGTTCTTCTTATTCTTGGGGGGTGCGCCGGGGACCTTGATGCGCAACTGAATTCTGCGGTGAGAGTGAGCTTAGAGGCATGAATGCAAAAACCAGTTTCGGGACGTAGATCGGGAGAGGACGAACAGTGAGCCCCATTTTTCACATTTTTCTCTTTCCTTTTTAGGCTTCGAAGATTGCGAAGAGCCTTTTCTCGAATGGCCAAAAAAAATAATAAAGTGTGCCCTCTCCCCGAGTCCTCCCCCCTGCCCCCCGCCCGCCCCTCCTCCTCCTCCCGCGGACCCCTTTTCAAAAGGACCACAAAGGTAAAACCTTTCAGCATATAGTAGTTGATCTAGTCCTCAGATTTCTTAGGAAAGGTCTCTCTGTCTGAGGTTTAGATAATCATACCCCATGTGGCTCTTTGTTTCCCTGCAGGCTCCGCTGGCACCTCAAGCAAAAGAAAAACAAAGTCATCCAGAAGGTAATGTCTATTTCCATGGATGTGTTCAGAAAGTCTCTATCTCTCTGTGTGTAAGAAGCCTCTCTAACTGGCAGCCTTCTCTTCTTTTCCTTTCAGAAGAGCTCGTCCTGGAAGAGATTGAAGATCTGGAGGAAGAGGCGTAAGAGACTGTTTGGCATTGGAGCAGCTTTATCAATCGTTAACAGTTCTTGGCTGTTGTAAAGATTTGCTTTTGTGTCTTTCCTTGAAGGTGAAGAGATGAAGATGTAGCGCTGCCCTGTCAGAATGCGCCGCCCCAGGCCAAGGCCATTTGCTGGCCCAGCAGTGGAAGCAGCACGTGCCAGGTATGGGGGGAAATGCTGTGGTCCAGAGCATCTCTCCAGGGCTCTGCACTAACTCCCTGTGGCCCTGCTCCTCTGGCAGCGCATAAGGAATGTGTCGGTCCATGTGTGGGACTAGAGAGATGTTTTCAATGGTGGAAAGGCCCAGATTTAAAAAGCTGTGAACCTCACTATGGAAAGTCAGTCTCTCAGCCTGATTTCCTTCACTGGGGGGCAAAGGGGTGGGGATTATGAGGCTCAATCATCACGGAGTTCTTTGCAGGAAAACCGGGAGAAAAAGATAATAATTTTTAAAATAAAACCTGAATAAATATCTAAGGGAGGAGGGAAGCCAGAATCAGCCATAACACATATTTTGCTCCTTTATATTCTCAGATGGGGCGCTGCTGAGAGTGCTGCATGAGCCAGAGAAAAAAGGAAAAAGTTGAATAACTAATGTCTTAACAAACTGAAAAATATTATCCGTTCACCATTACAGTTCCATGTCTTCACACTTGTCTCTATATAGCTTTAAGAATTTACATCATTCTTCTACGCCCTATTGACTTCCATCCCTCCCGCTTTCAGGCTTCTTAATGTACATAATTTGTCTTTCTGCAGCTAGTAATTGTTAATGATTTGCACATCGTAAGATTTATATCGAACCTGCTATAATTTTTAAGTTTCTGTAATTCCCTTCAATGTATATCATAAATTTGTTCCAATCATTAATAAACTTTGTATTTTTTTGGTTTCTAATTTTTTGCGTCATTTTTGCGAGTTCAATGAATTCAAATAATTTTGTTTGCCAGTCTCTAATTGATGGGATATTCTGGTTTTTCCAATTTTGGGCAATTAATAATCTGGCGGCAGTTGTAGCATACTGAAATAGTGTCTTATCTTCTTTTTTGATTTCGTCCCCAATTATTCCTAGTAGGAATGCCTCTGGTCTTTTGGGAAATGTATACTTAAATATTTTTTTTAACTCATTGTAAATCTGTTCCCAATATTTCTTCATTTCGTCGCATGTCTACCACATATGGAAAAAATTACCCTCTTTAATTTTACACTTCCAGCAACTCTTATTCGTTTTATACATTTTCCCTAGTTTTGCTGGTGTAATGTACCACCTATACATCATCTTTTCTAAATTTTCCCTGAGTGTTACACATGCCGTAAATTTCATTCCACTAGTCCATAATTTCGACCACTTGTCATACTCTATATTGTATCCCAGATCCATTGCCCATCTTGTCATTACCTCCTTTATTTCTTCATCTTTGGTATCCCACTCTAATAATATATTGTACATTTTAGATAGTAATTTAGATTTGCCTTCGATTATCTCTATTTGAAACTTGGATTTCTTTTCATTCATCCCTACTTTTTTATCTTCTATCCATACTGCATTTATTTGATGGAATTGTAGCCAGCCAGTTAGTTTATCTTTCAACTCCTCATAAGTTCTCAACTTCCATCCACTTTCTGATCTTATCAGTAGGTCTTCATAGGTTAGCCTTTCTCCCTCCATATTTACTTTTTTAATTATTAGAATGTCAGTTGGTGATAACCACCAGGGTGTTTTCCATTCTAGGAGTTTTTTATTCCTCTCCCACACTTCGTATAGGGGCCCTCTTATAATGTGATTTGAAAATCCTTTATGTACCTTTTCTTTATTTTGCCATAAATAGGCATGCCAGCCGAACCTATTGTCGAACCCCTCTAGGTCCAACAAATCGGTATTTTCTAAAGTAATCCAATCTTTTATCCAGCAAAGACTAGCAGCCTCGAAATATAACTTCAAATTAGGTACCGAGAATCCCCCTCTTTCTTTCAAATCTGTAAGGAGTTTGATTCTGATTCTTGGTCTTTTACCCTGCCATATAAATTTCGAAAGGGTTCTGTGCTGGTCCCGGGGGGGAAGGTACTAATACCGTAGCCAAAGTTCAGTCCTAAGTCACTAGCCGGGTAGAAGTTCACAAGATGAGACGTGAGGTCCGAAACAGGGAGCCGGGCGGGGTCAGGAACACTTGAAGATCAGAGGCAGGAAGCTGGGCAGGAAACAGGAACACTGGAAGGTCCGAAACAGGGAGCCGGGCGGGAACAGGAACGCTGGAAGGTCAGAAGCAGGAAGCCGGGCGAGGAACAGGAACACTGGAAATGCAGATCTAGGTCCGGGTCAGAACAAGTACTCCACAACGACGTTGCTCCCGCAACCTGGGACCGGGCTGACTGACCTTTATCTTCTTCTAAGGCCAGGGGCGGTCCCGGCCCCCAGGAGCCCCGCCTCTCCTGGCCTTAAGGCGAGCACTCCTCCTGGGAGAAACCAGTTCCCTTCGCCTCTCTGCCCTAAGCCTCTGCAGTTCAGGAGAGGCCGAAGGGTTACTGGGCCCCGGGGGAGGCTCACCTGTAGACACTGAGTCCTCAAGCACCTCTGGGGCCAGAATGGTTTCACCTGCTGCCTGCTCCTGAGGATCTGGCACAGGTGTAGGCTCCTCAGAATCTAGGCCTTGCCCCAGTTCAGCCGGCCCTGGAGGCGGGGACTCCTGTGCCGGCTGGGATTCCTCCGGTTCACTCTCAGACTCGGAATCCCAGGCCATCACAGGTTCTTTGCCAATCTGTAAATATTTTGGGTCCTCTAATCACTGGGATGTTTTGATACAAGAATAAAATTCTTGGAAGTAGGTTCATTTTTATCGCCGCCATTCTTCCCCTCCACGAGAGCTTTACTCTATTCCATGTATCTTGGTCTTTCTTGATCTCCTTCCATGTTGTAAGATAGTTATCCTGAATTAAATTTATGTTTTTTGTAGTTAAACTAATTCCCAGATACTTTTTTTTTTTACCACCTTAATTCCGTACTGCATTTCCAGTTTTTCAGTTTCCTCTTTTCTCATATTCTTGGTTAACATTTTTGTCTTTAATTTATTTAATTTGAAACCAGATAGCTTGCCGAATTCTTCTAACATCTCCAAAACCTTGCCAACACTTTTTTGCGGATTTTCCAAAGATAACATTAAGTCATCCACGTACGCTTTTAGCTGCAGAAGTCTTATTTGAAAACGTTGCTCCAAAGTCCGGATCATGAAGTCTCCCAGGGAAACACTGCAAGGGCAAGTAATCCCTAGGAAGTTTATAATAAACTGCTTGCAGGATAATTCCGAGGTCTCTGTTCTTTAAAAAAAAGACCTGCCAGCAAGAAATGAGGAATCTCAAGGAATTTTGAGCACATGGACTAAATTAGAGTTTGCTATATTAATAGCTGGCAGAGGAGGTATTTTTGCAATTAAAAGAGATTGTAATGTTAGTGAACTTGGCATTTGTTTTTGTGCTTTTGTTGGACTGTATGTGATGCTGAGCTCAGGTGTCACTGATGGGAGTCTCAAGAGGCACAGGCGTCTTGAAGAATAAGAAAAGACCTTTGCTTAATAGCCTTTTAACACCTCCCCCTTCAATACTTCTGTTAAGGCTGTTGAGCAAGAACCTTACAAAAAATGGACTTTTCATAAAAGGGTGGCTCTACCCGTCTTGTGCATGTCATCTCAGTACAGGATTCGTGAGGTCACAGAACTGGAAACTGCCCATATCTCCCGCAAGGCCACCAACTTCAGACTCTACAGAGGCTATTGAGCAGGAAAAGAAAAAGGGAGACCAGGCATAGGCAACCTTCGGCCCTCCAGATGTTTTGGACTACAATTCCCATCATCCCTGACCACTGGTCCTGTTAGCTAGGGATCATGGGAGTTGTAGGCTAAAACATCTGGAGGGCCGAAGGCTGCCTGTGCCTGAGGCAGACTACCAGGGGTAGGAAATGGATATTTGTCAATCTGACAAGCAAACAAAGCTAGGGCAACGAGACTGGACCGAAAGGGCAAGAGGCATGTGAACAAACAGTATGAACCAGCAGGACATAATTTCACCACCTTTCTGTATCAGTAACATTTATTTTAAATTGTAATTTGCATTTCCAAAGATCTGAAGTGTATTTCAGATATAATGCAGTCTTATATGCAAAATTTTGAAATTTACTCATTTCATTTAGATTCTTTGCTAGATTTTACATATGTAATAATATTGCAGATAATTTCCCACTTTCTTAGAAAGCATAAGGCAACACCAGACATTGTAGATGAATTCGCATCAATTCCTTCTTTTTATCAACAGATCACAATGCATCAACACAAACTATAAGATTCACCATGAGATACAAAGTTTGTTATGAGACAGAAGTTTACACAGATTGCTGCCTCTTATCCAAGCATTTCTCAATATCTTCAAGAACTTGGACAGCTGCCTTTGGGATTCGGGTTCCAGGGCCAAAAATATTGGAAACACCAGAGTCATACAAGAAGTCATAATCCTGTGCAGGAGAAAAACAGACATAAATCATGCATGTAAACTTTGTAAAGTAAAATTATGCAGAACACATGCTAAAAGAGCAGAGTTTAGCAATGGCAGGTCAGGAGGTAGCACACATGGAGAAGGGAAAATAACTTGGTATGCTAGCTATGGGGGGAAAGCAGTGATGCTCTCACCTACGCAAACCTTGCCATGTGTGCAAATCCTAGTGACTACAGGGTCAAGCAATCTCTGCTCTAAGTGTTATCCTATCTAACATAAAGAATGAAATCATCAAAAGCGGGGGAAATTTTCACCTCTGCTCCAAGACAACCAGAGACTTGTGGCTCTATACGAATCTTTTGCCAGGTGCAACAATTACCGTATACCAAGGTCAAGAGATTCGAAGCAGAAAAGCAAATTCTACCCCACTCCACTTGCCATTTCCCCCTCCAGCCCTTTCTTCCCTTCTTCCTAATTAAACCAATTCATGAACCAAGAATGTCTACACTGACCACTAATAATGAAACATATGTTCTGGATATTTCCCCACATTTATTATGCTATTTTTGTGATATGCAAATGACATAAGAAAACTTGGTATAGTATACAGTGTACCTCTAGTTACGAACTTCATTTGTTCCGGAGGTCCATTCTTAACCTGAAACTGTTCTTAACTAGGGGCGTGCTTTCGCTAATGGGGCTTATTGCTGCTGCTGCGCCGCCGGCACACAATTTCCATTCTCATCCTGGGGCAAAGTTCTTAACTTGAGGTAACTCCAGGTTAGCGGAGTTTGTAACCTGAAGCGTTTGTAACTCGAGGTACCACTGTACTCATTTGTATAACATTATTCTTGTTTATAACGCCCCACCACCCCCTGGGGAAAAAAACAAATTATGGAAGAAGAAAAAATTATATATTTTCTATGTCAGTAAAGGAAACTAGTCCCTTTTTTTCTTCATTTCTTAAAATGTTTATGAATATTTTTAACTTTAAAAAGTGATTTTTAAATTATTTGATTATATTGGCAGTTTTAGAAAGCTTTTGGGAGGCTGCTTTTCAACTGCGTTGTTCTGTGAACCCTAAACCTATAAACTACAACGCTTTCCCAAATTTGCTGAAGGATTTCCACTTTTCAATAGCTAGATGTTACTTTAAAAGCCTTTCAGTGGTGTTCATCATTTGCCTGGAGGAGGAGGAGGAGGAGGAGAAAGTAGATGGAGACCCCACCTCACTGGGAACAATTGAATCATCTCACAACAAGCTATCTTGTGATGGTGGTGCGCAGTACCTGAGGAGGGATGACTCCTCCACACATGACGAGAATGTCTGGGCGGCCAAGGGCATGCAGCTCTTTGAGGAGTTCAGGAACAAGCGTTTTGTGGCCAGCAGCCAATGTGCTCACCCCCACGCAATGCACATCCGCATCTACCGCCTGCTGGGCCACTTCACGGGGTGTCTAGGAAGAGAAAGCAAAGGAAGTGTCAAACAATATGGGAAAGAAGAATGCATAAAACCTAACACTGCATGCAGACCCACACTTCTGTTTTCATAGAGTGACAAAAAAACACAGACACCAGCATGCACCGCTGAAGGCTGCTACTGGCATTTAGGTTAGACAATACAGTGGTACCTCGGGTTACATACGCTTCAGGTTACAGACTCCGCTAACCCAGAAATAGTACCTCGGGTTAAGAACTTTGCTTCAGGATGAGAACACAAATCGCTTGGCGGTGATGCGGTGGCAGTGGGAGGCCCCATTAGCTAAAGTGGTCTTCAGGTTAAGAACAGTTTCAGGTTATGAACGGACCTCCGGAACAAATTAAGTACTTAACCCGAGGTACCACTGTATGAGTGCCCAGAAAGTAGAGTACAGAGAGGAACATAACCCACCTAACCCACTGCATCTTCCAACTCGGGAATCTGTAAAATCATCCCAGTACAACATATTCTGGTTGTTACCTTTAGTGCGAATAGGAAATTGAAACAATAGCTGCATGTATTTTTTACAAAATTATTTTACAAATTAATAAATTGCTTAAAAGTCCAAGGCCCTCAAAGCTGTGTACAAAAATATAAAATACAAAAATATATTCAAAAAATAAATAAAACCATTCCTACAGATGACTTACTGGGAGCCTAGAGCTTGCCGATCAGAAGGTCGGCGGTTCAAATCCCCGCAACGGGGTGAGCTCCCGTTGCTCGGTCTCAGCTCCTGCCAACCTAGCAGTTCGAAAGCACATCAAAGTGAAAGTAGGTAAATAGGTACCACTCCGGTGGGAAGGTAAATGGAGTTTCCGTGCGCTGCTCTGGTTCACCAGAAGCGGCTTAGTCATGCTGGCTACATGACCTGGAAAAACTGCGGACAAACGTCAGCTCCCTTGGCCAGTAAAGTGAGATGAGCGCCGCAACCCCAGAGTCGTCCGCAACTGGACCTAACGGTCAGGGGTCCCTTTATTTTTAACTATCCTTTATAGCGTCAGACATTTTAATTGCTAGGAGAAGCAAGCAAGCAAGCAAACAAACAAAGAAACAAATAAAAATTTGAATGGAAGAGACTAAATACCTGGAAGAGTGGGCCTATATCCACATCAAACCCAAGGTCAGCAAATCCCGTAGCAATCACTTTGGCTCCTCTGTCATGGCCATCCTGGCCCATTTTTGCAACAAGAAGACGTGGTCTCCGACCTTCACGTTCCACAAACTTGTTAACTCTGAATTTAGAATTTGCTTTTGTAAGTTGCAGACGGTTGAAGTAACATTTTTAAGGGTATCTTGACAGCTGTGACTACAACAAAAAAGTCTTCCATTTTTAAAGATTTATCTATATGCATTTGAATTCTATGAGTAGTATGGAGTTTTATGTGTACATGGAAATTTTATAATCTCTCTTTCTCATTTACCTTCCATTTGGTAATGATGAGATTGAATCAAATCAGGAACAAAAGGAAAAACAGGGAATACATTAAAATAACACAAAAAAATTCTAGTGACTCCTAGATGCAAAATTATGCTGAGCTTGCTTTATTTATTTCATAAAAGCAATAAAATTATCAGTAAAAAGTACTAAAAACAACCTTTTCAAAACATTGAAAAAATAAAATCAGCAATACGCTAAACACAGATTAAAACACACATCACCATTCTCTTGGGTAGGTCTCTCAAAACAAGCATGTTTTTACCAAACAGAGTAACAGAGGTGCTTGCCTGATGTCACTAGGAAAGGAGTTCCCAAATGTGGATACGCTGAAGGATATTATTATTAACAAGTATTATGTGGTACCCGTGACCATGCCAGTTCTGCAGAATGAAGTGGCTGAGTGGGAAAATATGGGTTAAAGCAACCTTGCAGGTGAACTGGTCCCAAGCTGTTAAGGGCTTATATACTACTGGTAACACCTTGAACGCAGCCTGGTATTTTATCAGGTTCTCCTCATCATCCACAGCCTTAAATTAAAGGCGATGAGTTTATTTTGTTAAAAGTCTAGTTTACAATACTTCCCATAACCAATTAATAAATACAGCGAATTTGCAGAACAAACCTGATAACAAACATAACCAACATAGTAAGGTTGAAAACCCAGCATTAACAAAACAAAACCAACCCACTTTAGACATGTGCAAAGAGGTAATAGCTTTAAGGTAATTGTTTGACTTTATAAAATTTGGAAGAACATTTATTAAGTAAAAATGGTTGGCTTATAAAGTGGATAAAAGAATGTAATTCCCCCAATTAAAAATGGAGAAGATAAAAGAAATGCAGAAATTACAGAGGGCAGTATCAAATGAATACCTCCCATCAGCGCTAGGATTTCCACCTGTGAGACGGGCTTCCCCCCTCTGCCTCTTGTGCCCCCTCAATCTGCTCTGGAGGGAAGAGGGCACAGCGGAAATCCTTGAGATGACAGGAACTAGCATTAGTGCAGTAAATTTGAGAAGTGTAAGAAATTCTGTGAAATACAAACTACTGTATAGTTTAAATATTCTAAAACTTTGGAAGTGAGATGGGACATACGTTCGTAGCATGCAAAAATTTGGAAGCCTGATAGCACACCATCTGATTTAATCCACAGAAACAGCACACTTTACCTGTTGATTGCTTGAGTAATTTCGTCACTCTCCCCAAACTCCTGACGGTAAGCTCCACTCACCATGCGGTCACTGGCTTTGTGCTCACCAAACACCTTTTTCATTGCATCCGTTATTTCACCAACTGTACATCTGAAAAAATATATATGCAGCCCAAACATTGAGGTTGAGTAAACACACCTCAACAAAAAGAAATAAAAACTCAGCACCTATTTCAATGGCACTTGTCACAATAGTTTCATATTACAATAATCTAATCACAGCAAACATAATCTCAACTTTCCCCAATTCCACAATATTGGAAGTTAAAAAAAGGTTAGAGACCCCTGACAGTTAAGTCCAGTTGCAGACGACTCTGGGGTTGCGGCGCTCATCTTGCTTTACTGGCCGAGGGAGCCGGCGTTTGTCCGCAGGCAGTTTTTCTGGGTTATGTGGCCAGCGTGATTAAGCCTCTTCTGACGAACCAGAGCAGCGCACGGAAACGCCATTTACCTTCCCGCCGGAGTGGTACCTATTTATCTACTTGCACTTTGACGTTCTTTCAAACTGCTAGGTTGGCCGGAGCTGGGACCAACCAATGGGACCAAGCAATTGAATTTTTTTATTCAAAATTAAAACAAAACATATTATCCAAAAAGATACCATCCTTGTCCCCCCCCCCACATTTTTCCTTCCTCCCCCCATCCTCCCACATAACCCCCCCCCCCGACTTCCCTCAGTTCCAGTCTTTGGTTTCTCTAAGAATGCTGTTTTCTGCATGTTGGTTGGTGATTGGTTCAGTTTTAACAACTGTCTGGACTCAGTGTGTACCCGAGAGTAACGGGTTGGTGGCAGCAGGAAAGCGAGCACAGTGGTGGCACAGGGATCAATAGACCGTTAAACGTCCGGGGACCCTGTGTGATCGCCACAGGCACCTTTTTCTCCTCATCTTGAGGCTGGTAGTGCTAGCTGTCCTTTTTGTTCATGGGCTACTTTCAGGTGGGAATCTCAAAATATAGCCAGAAGGCGCTGTGTGGTGCTTCACTTTTAATTTCCGTTCCCCCTTCCCTAAGGCCCCAGGAGCCGAGTTCTCGAAACATTTTGACTGGGAAGACTAAAGGATCTTCTGGCACAGCTTGGTAACTGGCTAGTCCTGTGCTTGGGTGATCCCACATTGCCCGAGTAACACCATGAGTATCTATTTGTGCAATTCCATTGCAATCGTGAACAAGCATGACTCAAAGAAGGCTGCCACCTGGGCATTTTCCTGCCTCTGTCCTTTTGCTTGTGTGAGGCAGACCTCACTGAGTTTTAAAAGGCGGAAAAGACCTCCTGACCCATTTTGCCACAGTCCTCGCCAAAAATGAGGCATTTAGCAGTACTTAGGAACACCAAGGTAGGGAATAGTGAAGAGAAATCCGGGCAACGAAGGACCAGTTCTACTGGAGCTGTGGGCACTATTTGTAGTATTTTGCCTGTCATTCACCCTCACCTGCAGAAATGGGTGGCGATGGCAACCTGGGGTGCCAGATCTCTTGCACCCAACAGTCATCAGCTGTTCTGTGCAGTTTCTGCTACCAGTTACGGCTTCAGAAGAAAGCAAGGCTTATGTTGGAGGAGGCCCAAAGGACATTTCACCAAAAGGGAGGCCCCCCTCTCTTAAGTCATTGAATCCTTTCTGCAGCTATTATTAATTGATAAACACGATCGGGGTGAAAGCCTCTCTGGGTGGTTCACACAGAGTTGAAACAATACACATTGTTCAAACCCTCCAAGTGTCCCTATTTTCCAGGGATGTCCCTGATTGAGAGAAGCCGTCCTGGTTTCTGATTTGATCCTTCAAAGTCCCACCATTCCCTATGGTGTCCCTAGTTTCACTGAAGAAATGTAAGAGGGTATGGAGTTCTCTGACCCCCGAGCCATCTGAAGGCAATCCTGTACAGGGATGGGTTTTTTTAATGTTTCATTTTTTGTTTCCTTTATATATATATGGTGGGTGAAGCAACATGGCGCACACCAGGGCATCACAGAGCTCCTGAGGGTGGCCAGTATTGCTTGTGCTGCCTGACCGGCTTCCAAGCTGCCGGGACCACCACCGCCGCGTGGGGGCTGGGGGCACCCAATGTATCAACTGGGGAGCTGCCAGCCCCCCCCCCCCAGCGACCCCACCAGGCCGGAGCCGAGGGCATCTGGCCAACGGCTGAGCGGAGCTCCAAGGCCTGGGACAACCCACCTCCCTCTTCCAGAGGGATAGGAGAAGGGGAGAAGGAGGAGACAGACGCCCAGCCATCTGGGGCCGGTGGGACCCAGGAGCGAGAGCGGAGGGGGAGAGGAGAAACCCTGGCCCTGCTGCCACCGCCATTGCGCTGCCAATGCCAAGGGAAAGGAGGAGAGGCAGGAGGAGGCCGCGAGGAAACACGTGGCTGAGCCTGTAGCCTTATGAGGCTTTGCCCTCGGGTGGGAAAAATATTGCGCCCGGGAAAGGGAAGTGGGAGTCAAGAGACACTCAAGGAATAGTTTCGGAGGAAAAGCTTTATTTCTACCACCCATGAACTGGTAGAAGGAGCAAGTGTGAGAACTCACAAAAACATGCACGAGTTCACAGTCCTGTGCACAGAGTATATATTCCCCTTCTAGTTCCCTCCCCTTTCTCCTCCCTCAGGAGTCCTGCCCCATGTTGAGGTTCCTGAGCATGTACAGAAAGCTCTCTTGGGACTCTTGGAACCCTTCCCAGGAAGGGGAATGAGAACAGTTCAGCATGTCCAAGATGTTGCAACTGAATGAGATAAAAGTCCCTTCCCAGGCCTGCTCTGACAGAGTCTATTCATTAGCCTTTTTGAAGCTCTCTAGTACTGATAAAAGTAACGGTTTGCCTATGCATCTTGTGAGAAAACAGAGGAAAACTTTAGCTGTGGATTTTTAGAAGACAAAAGGAATTTGGGACAGTTTGGAGGCCTGGGGTGATTATTGAGGGGGGGTGACTTCGGGCCTAGGTGGGGTCACCTGTCCTCACCTCCTTCAAGCCCAGGCCCATCCCGAGCCCACCTCCCCCGGAGCCTAGGAGGCTGGAAAAAGACCTCCCTTTTCTCTATAGAGTTTATTTATTTATTTTTCCTCCCCCTCCTTCTTAAACTATATTTTTTCCAAAAAATATTATTTTAAAACTATTTTTATATTACTATTATCATCTCCATCTTCTATTATTTAGTACATAAACTTCCCCCCTTTCATATATTTTAACCCCCTTTAAAAAATCAACCCTTCCCCCCCTTCCCTAAGTCTTCAGCCCTTTTACTAAATTACTATTAGTACCATTTTTAAAATACATCCATATATTACTTAAAACACACTTTCCACCCCCCCAAAAGGGGTGAAGCCTTATTTACCTAGGGATCCATTAGCCACGCCATCCCCTGGACCTCGGAGGGAACAAAAGTACCAGGAAAGCAAAATCTTCTTTGGAGAAAAAGAGTTTATTGAGATCTGTGCACAGAGACAAGGTCTGTACTCAGAGACAACCAGCTGGATGGTTCCTAAAAATACACTGGCTGTAAAGCAAGACACTTCAGCAGACTTTCTTATACCCCCAGACTTCCCCAATCGGCTAGCAAATATTGCTTGCTAAACACATTTTATTGCTTGCTAAGCATTCCTGTCTTTCTGCTAACCAAGCAATCCCTCCCCTCTCCTTCATACACGTGTCTTTTCTCATTCTTGCATTAGTAAGCATAAGACAGGAAAAGGGGCCTCTTTAGCAATTTAGCAGGTCTGGTTGGTTATTGCTTACAGCAGCTAAAATATTTTGCAACCAGAGAAATGGACTCTTGACCTGTTTGCCAGATTTAGCAAGCAACCGCTTTTTGCTGACTGACTGTCTGTGTACATTTTGCAGAAGTAGGATTAGCACAAGATTAGCACAGAAATTTACTTAGATCCAAGACACAGAGAATATAGAAATCCTTCTTAGGTACAAGGTACAGAGCTTAGGTGCGGATTTCTTAGGTACAGAGTACAAAACACAGAAAATATTGAGAGAAACCTTTCCCATCTCCCTTTACTCCCTCCTCTTCTTTTGAACAATCTATTACTTAGATTCGTTCTGGGGTAGGGGTCTATATTCTCTCATTACAGCAATCACTTTCCCATCATATTCTGCAAGCATTGCATCAAGCAGGGAATACAAAAGCAGAAAAGCAATAGAAGCATTATTGGGCCTATCACCATAGTAAATATTCTCCCCATCCATCCACCTGGGAAGATGCTGTCCAACCAAGACATATCCCAGCCCTCCCAAGTTTGTACAGGGACATGTGCCACCTTTTCAATGCTAGCCGCCAGATCACGGATAGCCTCGCCATGGTCTGAAACGTTGAAACAACATGCTCCATTTCAGCCATTTGTAACCACCTATTGTAGGAGTTATGGGCACCCCACTTAGTCATCAAACGGGAAATGTCGGCAAGGGAGGTCGGGGGGACTTTTTCCTGCCTGTGCCAATACACATGTGGGCTCTCCAACTAAAAAGAAAAGGAGAATCATCAAAGGTATAGATGGATTACGTTTCCTCCCACAAATGCGATACCGTTCATGCCAACAGAAATACGAGAGCATCCATATGACAAGGGCGGTACATATCACTTCTACCCAATATCTCCATGGTTCCTCCCACCAATACTCGGGGGTCATTTCTAGTTTTCTTTTACAGCTGAAGGGCCCACTGATACTCGTATTCAACTATTTCCTGGGCCTCAGGGGTAACTTTCCACCTTTCTGCTGAGGCACCTACTACATGGAGCAATTTCCCTACAATCCCTTGTGGGTGGACTGGGCTCTCGTGTTGTCTCTTCAAGATATTATACCCAAAAGGGGCTCTTCCCTCTTCATATATCAGCATGCACCCACAGGAATATGTCCACCCCTGCAATGGCCTGACACTTGGGGTGACTATATCAAGGGTTCTGGACCCAATACCAAAAGTCCCATTGGTGCCTCTGAATTTGCTGGAGAGCAAGTTTCTACGTTGGGGACGCTGCCCGCGGGCGCCCCTCCCATCCAATTTTTCAGCTGTGCGTTGAGATATCAGCTTCCAGTGTGATATCAGCAGAGCGGTCGTCTGCGGAGGGTCTGCTGATGGTCAGCCGAAGGGGTTAATC